CGTCGTGTGAAAATCATCCCATTATTGCACAATATTGATGGGAGCATAGCACTAAAGTCCCTAGATAATGAGGAAATCGAAATAGTTAAATTTAAGTTATTTATATACATACTATAGTCCATGCCAGGGGTAGGCAACCTTTTTGAGCCGGGGGCCGGGTTGCTGTCCCTCAGACAATTGGGGGGCCGAAGCACCATAAATAAAAAAATAAAAATAAAAAATATGCACACTCTCTCAGCCCCAGAAAAGCCATGGCAAAACCCCTGTGGAGATTTTGCCAAGAAAACCCCAAGAACAAGTAATGACAACAATAATAACATCATGGGGAGCGGCGGTGGTGGAGGCAGGACCGGCCTGGGGCCAGTCCAAAAGCTTCGGGGGGCCGCATTCGGCCCCTGGGCCTTAGGTTACCTGCCCCTGACCTAGCCTGTATAAATATGAGTATAGAAATGCACTCTAAGATATGGTGATACAGGTGTCTGTAGCAAAACTAATTTCAACAGATGCTGCCAGCACTATTCCTTTGCTTACAAAAGCTGGGAAGGCAATCCCTCCATCCCATCCTGGGGAGGATCCCTTGTTTTAAGCTGCTTAAGTGGCTCACAGGAAAAGGAATGAGTTTGATGCCATCTATACTATTTGCCAACTGTCCAGCAAACCCATTTCAAGGTGACAGGTGTGGGCAGCGTTGCAGAGTGACACTCGCAGCTGTTGCAAGAGCAGCCAGTGGCAATCCATCATTTCTAGAGCCAAGCCTGGAAAAATCCAGGCGAGACATTGCCTACGAAGAATGTCTTAGGATGCCACATTTTCGCCGTCGCAGGGGAATCTTAAAGAAGAGGGAGCCAAGGGAGTGGGACTTAACTCTTTGAGTTAACAAACTTTCAACAAAGGTAAAACTTTTTTTTTTTATTGAGACTGAATTTGCTGGGCTTTTACCTATACAGCACCTAAAGGTTTTCCCAGATGCGAAGTACAAAGGTGTCTTGAGAAATACAATGTTAAAAATATTTTTTTTATATAGCTGTTGGTTTAAATAACATTGCCTGCCTCGCTAGGTTTTTCTTCTTCCCTCTCCCTGTTTTTTTCCTTTGATTTTTTTTTTGGGGGGGGGGG